GCAGCGAGCAGTGCGGCGCCTGTAGTTCGACCCCCGGCCCGACGAGACGCGCCTGCGGGGACACCAGTGTAGTGTCGACAGCCAGCTGGGCCCCTCCCCAAAGCGGTAGGCCGTTGGCAATGACCTCAATACGCCTGTCGTCTTGCCTGACTGGGGTGGCATTGAGGTCCCGCACCAACACATTGAGGGCAACCGTTGCACCAGCCTCGCGGCAGATCCGTGCGGCCGCTCGCTCGACCGGGCCACCCCTCGCCCTTAGCAGACCTGACCGCGGGCAGGCCGCGAGGTGGTCTCCACACTGGTCGTGGAGTGCACGGCACCGGCACCTGGCGGCAGTGAGCGGCAACGGCAAGCGGAGTCTGCGCAGGAAAATTGCTCGGAAGAAAGGGGAAGCAAGGGTGAACTCCGGCTGGGTGGGGCGAGCGGTGAGGACACGTGCAGCGTGCGGCCCAGCTTGCGACTCCAGCAAGGCGGCCGAAGCAGCATCAGTCTCCCTCACGAAGGCACGGTGGCAAAAATCGTCAACGGCTTGGGACGCGGGGCGCTGCCACCCACGGGTGAGGTCGAGGGACGGGTCTTCCTCGGGCTGGGACGGCGCCTCAGCCTGCAGCAACTTCCCAAGAGGGGGGGTCGAAACCGATGGCTGCCAAAGAGTTGCGGGCAACACGTAAGGACTCAAGGGCTTCAGGCAGCGGGCGGTCAGAGGCCAGGGAGCCAACGATGTTGCGGGCAAGGGTGGCATCTCGGTGGCTAATGGCACGCAGTGCGTCGGCCCAGGAAGCCCAGTACGCAGCAGGTGCATGTCTGGTGGCGCTTCGCAGCCCAAGTCCGCCATGCCGCAGGGCAAGCTGTGCTCGTGTTTGGGCTGGTGGCGGCAGGTCGGTGGCAGCGTCGGCATAGAGGAGCGCCGAAAGGCAGCGCAGCACTGCGGCATCATGGCCAGCAGCATACGCCTGTGTGCTGTGTAGCGGCAAGTTGCGAATCGCATACTGCGCCCGCGGGGCCGCGCAGTAAGAAAGCAGGAGCCAGGCGACTTGGGAGTCTTGCAGGGCAGGGAGGGTGTCCAACAGGCTTGCTTGGCGGGCCAGCACCGCGTGCAAGTGAGCCTCAATGAACTCCGGTGTGCCGACCGGGACACCGAGGGCAACAAGACCACGCTCGGCCGCGGGCAATGCGGGATCGCCGACCCAGATAGGGGAGTCGGGGGCGAGGGCGGGCACGCCAGGTGGCAGCAGGCCGGCGCAGTTCCACACCTTCGTTTTGGAGGCTTTGAGACGAAGGTGTGCATGCCGCAACAGATGCTGCCCCAGGCGTCTGTACAACTCCGCAACTCTGGAGGGGGGGGCAAGGATGTAGATGTCGTCTAGGTAGGCTAGGGCTTGTTCTCCGGGGTGGAGTTCGGACTGGATCGCGCGCAATGCGGGCTGCAACGGATCGCCTTGCTCTCCACCCTCGGCTTGAAGGATGCAGTGGGAGCGATCGCCCGCAGCCCACACATAGCGGGACTCCCTTGCATACCACATGCGTGCAAAAGGCAGGACCGCCTGGAGGGACGGTGCATCGCGCAGTGCAGTAAGCATGGCCTCACGACTGACGACGTCGTAGGCACCCGCCGTGTCGACGGACAGCACCGTCAAGATTGGATCGGCCTGGGACCGTGCTTGCAAGGTGTGGACCAGCGCCTCAGCGCCGGCTCGCGTGGAAAGGGCATGCTGGTGTGGGTTGCACAAATCCTCGAATTGTGCCGCAAATTGCTGCGCAATGGTCCTGGCTACGAGTCGTCGTAGCGTGTCACCAACGACCAACCCTCGCGTCCCTCCGCTAAGCTTGCTGATGGCGACGAGGCGCCCCAGGGCAAGGCCTGCAATTGCCGACTGCGGCACTTGCGCACGTGCGAGGAGGGAAGCAACTTCACAAAAGAGCTGCGATGCCTCTTCCTCGTCCAACACCAAGCGAAGGACTTCAGAGGTGTAGCCACTGGGGCCTGGTGCAGCACCCCGGCGCGCTCGTCGGAGATTCGCGAGCAGCGCAGGGCGGTCAAGGGCAATGGGGGCATTCGGAGCGTACAAATCGGCTTGGAAGCAATATACAGGTGGAAGCAACATACCGTATTGACATGACTCAGATAGACTTCATGCGATCATTTTTTTGCACCCTCGGTCGCAGTCGGCGGGCGCAGGCTACGTCCTACAAGGAAGAAGCGAAGGAGACGCCACACCGCCCGTGAACGAAGAGGGCGAGCCTCACGGGGTGGGGAGACGACTTGCGGGCAGTGCTTGGGCGCCACGGGCATCCGCCGATCTGTCATACAAGCACTGTACTATTCTATCTTATATTCAATATGATATGCATATGGAAATAAAACACAAACTCTTACATCAATAATACATCCGGACTTCGTCGTGCCTAGCGAGGGGTTCAGAGTCCTCTTGCTGCGCAGGCCCCGGCTCGCACTCCCGCTGACGCCCAAGCGATGTCGCTGCGAAGGACGCCTCGACAGCCTGCTGGGTGACCACCGCTCTTCTTGCGCACAAGTCGGAGTCCTCGCACATAGAGCCGGGCCGCTGGAACACGCCGTCGCGCATCGAAGCCGGAGCGCGGGTCGCCACGAACGTCGCTGCGGGAGCTCAACCTGAACGCCGCCGTCACGGACGGCCGGAGAATCGACGTCGTTGCGAAAGGGCTTTCACTTTGGAGAGGCGCGCAAATCGCCCCGCCCACATGCCTTGCGCGCGCACGCGCAGAGGCTGCTGGAGCTGCTGATTCGGCCCAGCGACGCCAACGATGCCGCTGCGAGAGCCCCTGGTGGAGCCGTCGTAGGTCCTGTAGCTGTCAGCTAGCTCCGCAGGCGCGCAAGCGGACCAGATGGAAAAAGGTGCGCGGAAAAAAAATGTTTGACCCCACGTTGGATTGAAAACTTCCTCCCGTCCTGCTTTCGCTTTCGCTTTCGCCCGTCCGAGTCCGCCTTTGAATGGAATCCAGTTTGGATAGTTGCACCCCGGTTAAGGCCAATGTGTGCAAGCCCAACAGCATGGTTGAACTCAACCACGTGTCTCTGAGTCAATGAGCCACACATGCGTCGTCCCAAATACTTGTGTGTCTGATCACCTGTGAGTGCGTCCACAAGCTCTCCACACTTCCACCCCATGCTTTGACAGTGTGCTTTTCCATCGAAAAAGTGCGAGCTCAACCTGCGTTGAAAAGTGCTGGACTGAGCACATCACCTTGTTTGACTCCACGTTGGATTGAAAACCTCTTCCCGTCTTGCACTTGGCCAGTTTGTGATCGATACAGTGCTGATAGCAAGCTAATGTAGCTTGGTGGAACACCTTGATCATGAAGGGCTTCGAATGAAGATGTGTGTCAAAAGCTTTGTTCAAGTCCAACCTCGCGCACCACAGCGGGGTCTCCCATTCAATACTCTTCCCAATCATCGTCTCCGAAACAGCAAAGGCATGGTCGATCCCAAGTTTTGAGCGAAAACCAACTTGATCGGCACACTGAGCGCTCTCCAAAACGTTAGTTACGAATTCTCGCACCAAGCAGCTTCACAAAAATTTTATAGGTAATCTTCAGAACTGCGATGGGGCGCCAGTTGTTTGC